TAGTAACATATTCCATCTACTCCCCATTTCTGAATGAACCCTTGAAAGCAGTTCATCTGTTTTATTTGGTTAGGAAGTACCTTTCCTGAAATTCCATTCTGCCTGAAAATTTTTAACACAAATTCCCCAAAAGGGAACGCAAAGGTCTATGTTGGCAGTATTAATACATAAACTAATACATTTAACACATTTTATTTTTCACTACGTTCTAACAGGAAGAAAATCAGATGACAAATTTGATCTCTTTTCACTTCCACAATTTGAACTTCTCTTCTGGGTTAGTCTTTATTAATGAGTACAATGAAACCCAACAGCTACATTCAGGACTTTTCCCAAAAAAGCTCCCAATATAGAGAAAAACAATTTTTTAGTTCCTAATATGAAAACAAGGAGACATCCCCTGGATTTTGGTTAAAAAAAAAAAAAAACCAACCAATGGTTTTACATCCTAACCATACAATCAGTATATCAGAAATAATACCCAGACCCTCAAAGCCTATAAACCTCCCAAAGGAATCTTGCTTTTCACTTCTTGCTACCACTTACCAAGTCTTAGAAAATGCTAATTCACTCCTAGCCTCACGTCTCTTCAGGGATCCCATTTTGCTATGCTAATGTATTCAATCCCCCAAATCTAATACTCGTCAAAGAGAAACACTCAGCACAAGACATGTGCTACACTAACATTAACCACATCTCTAAAACAAAGTGACAAACCACTCCCAGCCTCACACACAAAGGAGGGTAAGCAGTAGCCCGCGGGCGGCCAGACCCCAGGTGTATCATTAACACAGAGCTGCCCAAGCACAGGGTTAGCGGCTGCACCTCTACAGCAGGGGAGGCTCGGAGCCCGCGAACCAACGGATGCGGCGGACGGCCCACGGGGGCGGGGTCGCACCGCCCGGGCCCCGCCCCGGCCCGCCCCCAGCCGCGCCGCAGTCCCCGCGCGGTAACGGCGCGCACCCAGGACCCCTGTCTGCCCCGCCGCGCCCTCGCCGCGCGGCCCCCAGCACGCACCTGCTTTGCAAACCGGGGCGCTCGGGCTCCTGCTCTCTGGGGAGCTCCGGCTCTGCTCCGGCGACCTCCTCCGGTTCCGGACGCGGGCCGGGGGTGGGGCCGCGCTCCCCTCGCTAGTCCACAGGTGGGTGGGCGACGAGCTGGGCGACGACACAGTGCCCAGCAGCGGCGGCGGGGGCTGCGGCCGTGGGGGGCTCCCGCGAGCCCCGGGCGCGCCGCCTCGCGTGGGGCTGGTGCCGCGTGTGGACGTCGCGGACGCGCTCGTCTGCGTGGCCACCGTGGGGCTGGTGCGCGCCGCCGCATTCCCGCCGCCACGCGTGGGGCTGGTACTGCGCGAGGCGGTGCGCGGGCCGCCGCCGCCTGAGGGGCCCGAGGCGCCGCTGCAGCAGCCGCCGTTGTTGCCGCCGCTGCCCCGCGTGGGGCTGCCATGCTGCTGCTGCTTCAGCTGGAACGGGACCGTCGCCCTCATGGGCTGCAGGCGGCTCCCGGCCGCCCCCGCCAGAGCGCCCGCAGCGCCCCCAAGGGAGCCTGCCGGCGTGGGGGACCCACTGCGCCTCACCCGCTGGGCCATGGTCCCCCCCGGCGCCTGGGCGAGGTGGGGAGCAGTGTCGTTGCGCTGCGGGAGGCGGACTCCTGAGGCCGCAGGGAAGGCCCCGCGGCGGGCTGAGAGGTCGGGCTGCAGGCTGCGGGCTGCGGGCTGCGGGCTGCGGCCGGCAGCAGCGAGGTGGTGCAGCCGCCGCGTCGCCGCTCCTCATCAACAATAGTGTCTCCTCCGCTGTCCCCGCCCCCTGCGGGTGCCCATTGGTGCAACGTCAACCGCGCTCGAGCCGCTCCACCGCGCCCATTGGCTGCGGGCATCGGGTCCGGACCCGGGGCCTTAGCGAGCCTGGGTTTGC